TGCTGGGCACAAAGAAGCTGTGGTTAACAAATACAAGTTAATGACCAAGCTTCCATTAGGTCATGGCAACTCATAAAATTTGTTCTGACAACTGAAGTTTTGGGACCTGTTACTATGTTACACCCTACCAGTCCAGAAGTTTTAGTCTAAGTAATTTTATCTTAATAACAAGAAATTAACTTAAAGCAATGTTTTATGTTACAGAAATAACAAGAGGCTACACAGCCCTTCAACTTCTCCTACTAAATTTGCTTAGTACTTACAGCTGGGACATCCACTTTGGACAAATTTCAGAGAAATCAACCAACTTCACAGCATAATACAGAAAAGTGTCTCTGTATCTTGCAAAATATAAAACATCAGATAAATCCTGAAATGAATAATTACAAATATGACTGTCTTCTATGTTTAGGCCAACAGTTTGATGATGCCTTTCCACCTATATCCATTCTTTTTGAGTATCATCTTAACTTAGGACACCAACAAGTCTGGCTGGACACCTCTTCACATAGCTGCAGGGTCACTAAACACACAGGTAGCAGCAACTTTAATCGCCTCTGCAGCAAACATTAACTTTGCCAGTCCAACTTGTGGAAGAACTGCCCTTCATGTTGCAGCGTGCAAAGCATCGTCTAAAGCAAACAGAATTTTAGGTGTCAAACAGATTGCATCCGTTTACTGTTAGGTAATAGAGCCAACATAAACACCCAAGATCATGAAGGATGAAGAGCTATTCATGAAAGGAAATAGTTGATTTTCTGTTAGAGTCTAATGCAGACATGAAGAGTTTAACAAGAGATGGGCAATCTCCACTCTCTTCATTTCTTCAACGCAGCTCAAATTTAAAAGATACGGCATTGTTGAATAAGTTGCTAGGCTTCTCATATCCACTGAAATAAGAGATAATCAAGGACACCTACCCACTTGGACTTCTGTTGTCAGAATTTCAAATGCTGAAAGACTTTCTCATAACATTATCACAGAAATTACTGTCTTTGCAAGATATTTGCAAAATCACTACTTTAAGAATATATGGTGAAAACAATGAGCACTGGATCAAGAACAGGCTCCCAGTAACTGTATAGGATTCTTTATACAACTACCAGGACTTTGGACAATAAGGCCATGATGTTGCTAAACAGAAAAGCAAACTGAAAAACTGCTGACCCTGAAAACAGTTGGCAGAAAAATTAAAATTAATCTGGAAAGAAGACTGTGTGTTTTCAAGTAGTTCAATGTTTCCACATGTGGAGTTTTAATAATCAAGATGATTTTTACATTAATTTCCTCATATGGCTACCGCATCAGGTGCGGAGAACCTCTGTAGGAAGTAGAGTAGGAAAATACGCATTCACTTCCTTGCTATTCAATTCTATCAGTTTAAGGGGGCGGGGGGCGAGCAAGATATATCTACCTATGCTTCACGTTTAAGCCAGCCAGTAAGTCAAAACCATTCTTATGACTACAGTTCCAAAAAAACTTCACAGGAACATATAAAGGGTGTCCTATTCTAATCATTCAAAGCATTATCTTTTTAAGTCTGCTCTTTGTTACTTTTAATAGGAATGAAACCAAAACTTTTCATTCACTAACATCACCTACAATTTCAGTCCCTTAGAGGAGATAGCAACCATTTTGAAAGACAGCAATTATTTGCAACTGAGGGATTTTTTTTTTTTTTTTAAAAACAAGTAACTATAACTTGAACATATTTTGAAAAACTAACTGATATGCTGTCAGCAAATTGAGGCGTAGTCAAGGGGCTTTGCTTATTTTTATAATTACCTAAAAGAAATTTTTTTTAGGTAATTAGGTAATTTAGGTAATTTGGTAATTAGGTAATTTGGTCTTTCCTGGTTAAGGAAAGACCAAAACAAAACAAAACCAATCTGACCATCCCTGTTTAGGACAAGCAAATGGCTTCACAAAGGAGAAGACATTTCCAGAGCTTCATCATAATTCACTTGTAAGTCAATGTAATTGAGTACTATGCTTATAGTAAAGGAGGCATGGTACTGGTATAGAGAAGACAATGTATTTTTTCATATGTAACATAGCTAAATTCTTAAGAATCCAGGTCATCTCAAATTTAACTATTAAGTTGCTTTCATTCTCCCATAATGTAAGTTATCTTTGTTTTCTTTAACCCCAAGTAATAATTCGATGAACTTACTTTAACGTCTCGATGCATCACTCCCACGCTGTGGATATAGCATACTCCTTCTAATAACTCTTGAAAAATTTTCATTGTCCAGCGGACATCCACAAGATGGTATGGACCTTAAAACAATTTAAAATCTAAATTATTTCAGCTGATTCTACTGAATTATTTAAGTTTATGGTGGTATGTCCTGTTGAATTCTGGTTATTTATGATGTGGAAGACATTTTTAACAGAATGAGCATAGTTTAAAAATGGAATTTCCCATGCTTCTCCTAAGATAGTATTTTTTAAACAGCAAAAAGTCACTAACCTCAAAATTCCAAAAAGGAAAGTTCAGGGGACATGAACATATGTCTGCCTGAAAAGATTCCTCCAAACCCCACCAGATAGTTATTTGATTATGAATTTAACAAACTCTTTACTTCCATGTAAGTGCTGAATTAGAATGAAAAATACAGTTCCAGATAAAATCACACTAATTTATGTAATGACATGTTGTCTGTATGGATTTGCACCCTTCCTTTTTGAATCCTACTCCTTCTGCTGTCGGGCTACCCTCTGAAATTCCCAAATCTCCTCTGGCTGTAGCTGTCCTAAATAAACTTACCATCTCATTGTTTTTACCATTTCCCACATTATTATTTTATTAAACTACATTGTCTTCCTACTCTAATGACCCAGATCTAATACGTCTGTTGTCACTTTGAACACTCACCATTTACTCCTACTTGGGCTTCAGTTTCTTAATGTCTAACCTATGATAGCATTAACCTTTCCTCTCCTGTCACCTGTGAAAATATGTGAAAAGGGCATTTTGCAAGGTCAAATGCCCTAGTAATTCTGTCATTCGCTGACCAGGAATGTAATCTTTTAGCTTATGAAAGCTAAAAATACTATGATTACAGGAGAGATTAGTGGAAGTCATCTGATAGTTACCTGGTAAGCCTAAGGTTTACTCCATGACTGAAGAGAACAACAGATTTATCTTAAATGTGATTAAAACTAAGATGAAACATTAATCATACAGTTCATATCTTACAATCTGTTAAGCATATGCTTTTTTTATACAACCACCCCTGAGAAAGGAACATGTCTCTAATGCTTTAAGAGCATTAGTCTTGTTCTTCCAAATGCCAACAATTATTGAAGACGGCTTGGTATCAGAGTGTAAGAACTCCTCTGGCCACTCAAGCAAAGTAAATGTTAAATTCTTTAGACCAACGACAAATCAGCCTGCGTAGGAGTTTTGACTCTTAAGAACAAACTTAAAAGCTTTTAAGTACGTTGTAACCTGTTTGGAACAAAAGATTATTTACATTTTCCACAGCAGATAAATTAGCCTGTGAAGAGCTCTATTTTGTAGCAGCAAGACTACTACCAAAGCGAAATTTCAGTTATTTAAACAGCTTACTGAGAAAAAGCAGATTCTGTCAATAAAAAACTGTATTCCAAATAAGTAGTACTGCCCAGGCACAGATCTCTCCAGGTTACAACTATGCCTCAGGCATACATTCATTTTTTGAAGAGTTGTCTAAAACTTATGAACTTAAATCTCTTTTACCAACATCTATCATACAAAGATTCAATACTAGCCACTATATGATTAAGTGAATAAAGAATCTAATGAAGAATCATAGAATGATAGAATCATTAAGGTTGGAAAAGACCCCTAAGATCATCAAGTCCAACCGTTAACCCAACACCACCATGCCCACTAAACCATGTCCCTAAGCACCTCATCTACACGTCTTTTAAATACTTCTAGGGATGGTGACTCTACCACTTCCCTCTGCTGAAGTAAAACATAAAATCAGGCAAGTGGACTTCCAATTAGGAAAAAAGAAATATTTGCTTTATAATGAATAAGTAAATTCTTAAGACAGTGATGAGTCTTACCGGAAGTTTCCTCTGTTCTCTCGTTGTATTTTTGGTTACGGTCAACAATCCAATCCCACAAGGATATTTCACAGAACTGCATTTGTATATGAAGCATCAAACGATACTCCACCTAACAGAAAAATAATGGTCCATGATTTTGCCACTGTAATATGAACAGTATTTCCTTAGTTATTTTCTTTAAAGCTAATAAAAACAAAAAGGTTTTTAAACTAAAAAAACCAGTGAGATACCAAAATGACATAAAATACAGTATTACTAATCTACTGCATTCAAGAAGCAGATGCAACAACGTTACCTAGTTTTGGGCTTTTTTTTGCTTGTTCCTCAAATTTTAATAATTGTTATATGATAAAAGCCAACAAAACAGCCAGCTACATATTTTAATATTCAAATTAGAGTTTAAAAGCTTCTAGACATACTGAACAGAGGTTCACTCTGGCTTAAGAAAATAGTGTAAATTAATATAAAATAGCAAAAAAATTCAACCTCTTGATATGGAATTTTATGATTTATTAACATGAATATATAACTTCATACTCAGTTTCTGATAATGTACTAGTTCATCTGATAACCTGGACAACTCAAGCAAACACCTTTAAAATCTTGGATTTCTTGCAAGAGGGAACTCCAAGTGATAGCAAAAGCTTGAAGCATTCCAGAGCTGGCTGTGTTACATAAAACATTTCAGCAGTATGAATGCCAACAAAGTTTTAGAAACACAGGCAGAGTGGTGATTCCCTGCCCAAATCTGCTTCTCTCTTTTTCATATGTAATCCTACACTGTATAGGCACCACATTACATACCTAGACACTTTGATCAATAATATCTGAATTAGCCATCATTACTGAATGCTGAAGATTTTCAAGTTTGATGGATTTTTTTTTTATGCAGTAGTACTTTTTATTCATGTAGGTACTTTGAAAGGACCCAAGATGACTAACACATGAAAACTTTCTTGTATGCTGAGTTTTGCCAGCTCCTCTGGTCAGCTTCCTTGTAATGGTGTTACCCTCTTAAGTAAAAATAGTCTGTATTTTTGGCTCTAATCGCAGTCATTTCATTTTTTTAAATTTATCATTGTAAATCATTCCTCTGTCTACCAAATTCTACTTTACAAATATCATTAAATTAGACAGCAGTTAAGTATATTTAAAGAGAACGGTATTCACCTCAAACTCTCCGCAGAGAGCTACATCATTCTTGGAGCATTCTTCAGTGCAGCACTTACTTCCAGTGCTAGCATCTTGATCCAGACTAGAATGAGGTCCCCATGCTGAATGATTTTTCACATCAGTTGATCTACTGCTAACACTACTTACAGAGTCTCCTTGTAATTCTATGGATAATTCATATTTATTTGGTTTCATACACTCTTTACTATTGCTGTTTGTAAAATCATTCCTTAAATCCATATTCTGCACTAATTCACTATCCAGATTTCCAAGACTGGTACTGTCACAGGACTTCTTTTCTTGTGAAGTAAGGTCAGCAAAGATAATTGAACTACCACTTTCCACACTCTGAATGTGACAGCGATCGCTGAAAATAATAAAGGGAGAGAAATCAAAATATGTACACAGTTTTATACCATCTATTTGTGACACACCATTCTGAAAACTTTTTTTTTTTTTTCAATTGCAAACTGCATTCTAGAGTAAGAGTTCAGCTGCTTCCCCATATAAAACTTTAGGATTACATAATTGGCAGCGTAGGCTCCAGCCTTTTTAATACCCTCCCGCCAGCAGGGATTCCTGATAGCTGACCCAGACAGCTCATAGATACATATAGCACTAGGTCACAGCATTCACTGTACTGAAGTATGATGCATCTCCATTCCTTTAAACTTAGGAAGTTACACTGTATTTCTCATAGGACTCCATCTCCTTATTGAAAGGGCTAATCAACACTTCTGAGAAACAGAAGGCCCCATCATTCTAGTAAGACTCCACAGTACTAATCAGTGTTGCTGATTGGCACAGAATTTTTGAGGTAAACTTGAAGCCCAGTATTACATTCAGGCACTCAGAAACTGACAGATCCAAAGAAGGCAGAAGTATCCAGTAATACTCTTCAGCTTATGCAACCGGAAGAGAAACAATGACAAGGATAATTAAGACTTTTTTTGGTTATAATTTGGAAGCAAAAAGCACTTGTACAATATATGCTGAATTCTGTACTCTTTTAACGTTACTTTAAAAAGCCTTATATTAAAGCCAAATAAATGTTATCATTGAGATTTGTAATACTTACTTGCCACTCTCTTGCTCCAAAGATAATGGCTGAAAGCCCCTTATTATTTTACCTATTGGATAAAAAGATAAATATGGTATTTTACAAAACAAAGCATGCATATATTTACTATAAATTAACATCTAAGCTACAGCATCTTACTGAATTTAACTTCATTACCTGTAGATATCTTTTTCTTTATTTCTGCTGCTGCAAAAGGTGTTTCTTAGTCTATTAAGAAGCAACCCTAATATGTTTTTTATTTTTCTTTAATTGAAAAGAAAATACATGTTGTATGAGGTCACTGAAAGGGTTGTACATATTACTTACATCTCTCTTATATATTCACCTAGATTTCACCTTTAAGAAGTTAGCCTGTTCAAAATTAGGGCATATAACCTATATGATAATACAGTTAAAGAAACAACTCCACAAGGCACCATCCTTTGCATCACCCTGCTGCTGTTTTGAAGACACCTGATAATTTTGAAATAATTTTTATTAAAATTGTGTATTTATGTGAAAAAGCAGTTTGTTTCAGCACACAGAAGCAAATATGAAACACCAATCTTGTAAGCCAAGGAAAACCATGAAGTACCACAGGACCTACCTATAGATCTCATTATGTACTTAACATTATCACCATTAAATACTTGTGAAGTACTCCTAGCACTAAAAAGTTGCATCCTTTGAGATTATTAGTATCACCGGTTAAAAAAATCTTGTCTGTTTTACTACACTATGAACTTCCTATGCATTTTCTTTTGTGCTTATAGCTGAGTAGGCGTGAAGTCACTGACTTGGAAAGCAATAAAGTCATATAGAGCATAAGTAAACCTCCCACTAAGAGAGGATCAAAAGATTTAACTGCTAAAGGCATTCCAGAAAAGGACAAGGAAGAAAGGGACCAATGGATTAGGGTACAAAGGGACCAAAGTGTGGGAAGAGCCGAGAACAGAGAAACTGAAGAGAAAAAAAAAGGGGGCAGGGAAGAAGGTGCAAAATGACTATAAAAGTAGGTAAATTCTCAACAATTACAGACAGTAGCTGATACCCAAAAAAACAGATTGCTCTGTCACTGCAGAACTATGAAACACAATTCATCAAATTTAAACTCTCCTGTGGAAAGCAAAATCAGAGGTAATATTTTTTTTTTTTTGCCATTAAAGTCTTTATTTCCAGGTTCTTTCAGTTTTTCTAAACTCTTTTCCAGATAGGAAGAGAAGCATAGTGGGTAATTTTATCCTACTGTTGCTACGACTTTGAGATTTCAAAACATGGTAGCAAATTTGTGAGTTTTTTTCTCCTATTCATCACTTTTCCCCCAATATCTGAAGTGTCCAACCCCAGTATTCATTCTTCTCCTTGTCAACTCACTACTTTTTGTGTTAAAAGGTTTTCATTTTCCACTGAACTTCACACAACATTAAAATCCGCCTCATATATTACCAGAAGTGAAGCTAATACTTCCACAGTTCCAAATCCATCATTAAGTAACAGATAAGTTATTAGGCAAGAGATTGAAGTGCACAGAGGGACATGGAGACCTGGTGGTCACCTCTAGTTTGCTTTTTTTTGGTTGTTTTAAGGAAGGGAAAAAAACAGTTATTTTATCAGAGAAGTAATACTCTCCTGCAAATAATAGAGGTTATAAGCAGGATGCAAGCAAGAGTTACACAATATGCTCTACTTTCCTTTTGGGTGTACTGTTTGAACTTGTTCCATCCAAGCAGTGTGATAGCCTACAATATTAGGATGCTGCAGCCCAGCCAGCACTTTAACTTCTCGTAGTACCTAAAAGGACCAAAAAGAAACAGTATGACTGTCCTTCATTCTGAGTGCTTAGTAAACCCAAACGATAAAAAATAACAGTTTCTGATAAAGAACAGATAAAATTATTACAGTAGTGGAGAAAATTTGGAAGCTTTCAAATTCAAGTTAATAATATGCTTCTTTTAATGGACTTAAATACTTCCCATTTACTTTTTTCTACTAGGTATTGATAGGGTCAAATCTTTAGAAACTCAGTATGCATAAAAAACGTTATTAACGTTTTTGTAATTTTGAGAAATATTAACTGCAGTACTAAACTAAATCAGAAGCAGCTAGAGCAGACAGGAAGTTAAAACAGAGATGAAACACAAGAAAAAGAATACCTTCATGCAATCTCTTCTTGTAGCCTTCTTAATGTTAATTTTTTTGATAGCATAGAACTGACCATCTAACTTGTTTCTGACCTGAAAACAATTGCAACAGGACAAAATTAGATGTTAATGTGTTTAGATCAATTAATTATTAAATCCTTTAGAACCAACTATTTTCTAAATGTTAATTTCTGCACTCCATTCAGATAACCTCTCATCCATATCAGAGAATGAAACTGGGATTAGGCCCCAGCTGTCTAAGATAAGGATACTCTACTTTTGCATTCTTTCAGGACTGCAAACATCTAATTCAATCAATACATAGCTTTACAGCTATCTTTCCATCAATAAAAAAATGCTGATAGGTCCTGATAACTGCTTAAACAGGTTCTCAATAAATCTGTGAGACCGCAACTGTCATTTACATATGGCACATACCACGCGGGGAACCTTAGGCTGGCCATATGCTAGAAGTATTAAATACAATTCAACATCGGGTTGGACAGTTTACATTCATATTAAGGCTGCTTTTTTTCAAGCAGCACAACTGGAACATTGGGGTGTGCAGGCTAATCAGTTCCTGTGGCTGTTTTAAGTCAATATATCACAATACTTCACACGAGAAATAAGGAGTTTTCATTCACTTTAAAAGGGGTCAAAATACACAAAGGAAAACATCTGATATATCCTGCTTCTGACAAACAGAAAACAGAAACCACAACTGAGCATCTTTTGAAATGAAATGCCAACATCCTTCACATGTGCAGGTTTACACGTGTTCTATTGGAAAATGAGTATATTTGTTTTTCTGTTAGAAAAATAAACAAAACAGCAACTCTAAATTTCAAAGAAAAACTAGATATAAACTGATCAGTTATAAATGGAAGGTAAAGAATACCTTGTATACTTTACCATATCCTCCTTTTCCTAGCCTTGCAACCTCATCAAATTCATTCAAGTATCGTGAAGTCTGTGCTTCAAAGAGAATTTCTTTTTCCCTAATCAAAAAAGATAGGCTGCATTAAACTAAATTACAACTTATAAGTAAGGTATTATATAGGCTACAGGTGTACACAATCTAGAAATACTATTTACATTATGAAAAGAAGAAGAAAATACTTTGACATTACCATACTAAATACTGAAAACCAGCAGACTGCAACAGCATGCACATGTGCTACAAATCCACACTGTGGGTTAACAGAAGTATTAAGATGATTTCTTTAAGTTTATGCCTGATAAATATTGTTTTCCTGAATGGTGACACTAACCGTGAGAGTTGTACTGAAGAAGCAATTTCCACCAGATCGTTTTGAGAGTTTGGAGAAATTTTCTTTTTTTTTTTTCTATGTTTCAGAGCCAAAATTTGAAATGCAGTGTTAATTAAATCGAGAGTGGAGCACAGAACTTCAGGGAGGGAATTAAGTTTAACTTTTCTAAATGCTTTGAATACATACCCAATTGCATGAGAATCTCCATTATCAAGTTCCTATGAAACAAAAAAATCCAACATAAAAACATGCCATACAGAATAACAGGTCTACCATGCCATTGGCACAGAGAGCTTAATCAAAATAGAAATTACAACTACGTTCTTAGAAGAAAATGAGGTTACTGATAGCCATTCACATTCTGCAGAGAGCTTCACCAAATTAAAGTATTATTATCCCACCAGTAATCTGCTAACATCTCTTTGCTGGAGAGATTACTGCCCTTTTAGAGTTCTGCTGGCAAACAGGATAAAATGAGGGCTCTAAAATGTGCTTAAGACAAAATTAACTAGCTTAGTTCAAGCAGCGAGATAAGCAAACTGGTCTGATTCAGCCTGAAGCATATAACGCAGTATACAAATTATGTCCTCCACTAATATAAATACAAGGGTGTTAACATAATAACTGGAGCAGTTAAAAGTTGAAAATGGATGTCTGTCTGTTGTTGAGAAAAAAAGGTGTAGCAATACTTAAAACACCTTGCCTGTGTTTATAAAGATTTTTTTAAAACATTTTTTTATTATTATTTAATAAGGAACAAAATGTTGCTGGCTTCACAAGCTTTGGTTTGCACCTAAAGAATCAGAACATGCCATCCCGAACAGCTAAGGTAAAATGGGAGTACCATTTTGTATAATTATTGAAAAGATCCAATCCAATATTAAAAGAACCCCCAAACAAAAGCTTCTTTGGATGCAATGATGTGTTAATTCCTTAATGCAGAGCTTGCCAAAGAAATTTAACAAAGCTTACCCCATTAAGTATTTGTCGATTAGCTGCTTTCATTAGTTCAGTAATAGCTCTATTATGCTGCAGTCTTACAGTACTAAATTCATCACAGAAGGCAAAAGGAGAGAGCAACCCTGTTCTTGTAAAAGCCTGACGAAGCACTGTACAAAGGAACAGAGAAAGGTCACATTAAATAAAGCCTGCCAACAAGACCATGTAAACAGCTGTTGTTTTTTAAAGGAGAAGCTTTATTTGAAAGACAGTGCATCTGAAAAAATGAACAGTCACTCCTACTCTAATGCCTTTGCCTATACTCTTAGCAATAAAAACTAATTAAATCCAAACTAGAGCTGCTCTGTGGGAATCCCTTTGCATAATACAGTTATTTGCCATACCTTTCATGGTCACAACTGCATCTCCTCTTCTTCCTCATCTCAGCAGATGAATTATACAAACACCTAGTCATTCACTTACTTGTTACCCTTGGACTAATTTTGATGAGTGAAAAGAGAAATTCAAAGCATGTTCACAGTTATGAGGACACGTTTATAAAAAAAAGCGGTAATGTCAAGATTTTCTAATTCACATACAAACTCACATATTTGTGCACATACTCATAGTTGAGAATGAAGTCACTCCCTTCCATCCCCCCCCAAGCACCACATCTTTCTCAGCTGAAGTAAAACAACGCTGTGGCAAACAAAAACCTAATAAATACTGGAGATGGGTGCAACTGTGAAGGTGCTACCAAAATGTACTTAAAAGTTTAGGAGTTCCAAGGTCTTAAAACAAACTTTCTCATAAGAGTTTTTTTAAGATGTTTCTTTGGTACCAGTATTTTAAAAATCAGCCTATTACTTTATCTTTTAAAGGAGATAAAATCTATTGAAAGTGAACCTGCAAGAAATCACGAATTTTGCTACACAAGCTTTATGGACACAGTTACACACACCAAAAAAGTGGGAAAACCCCACCCTTGCCAACATGAAAAACCAGCCAAAACCACAAAACAGATACGATTACTTCAATATGTTTTTCTTTTATTCATCAGATTCATTCCTAGGGAATGGTTTAAACTGGTTTTAACCAGTTTGGGAAACTGGTTTATACTATACCAGTGGAGGAATGTCATTTTCCATAGAAGTACACTGGGAAGCCAAGCAGCTACATACTTTGGAAGATGTGCAGGTTCATTTTTTTTTTGTTCCTCTCCCAAAAGGAGGAAATTTCGTTGGGTTTTTTCCGCTGGTATTTTTGTTTTTGACAGAGATAATAGTAAGACCCAGGGCCAAACATCTACATCAGACTTCAAGAACAAAAAAATGACAGCTGCCTGCACTGTTGTTACTGGATGCTATAAATGGCTTCAATTTTAAGTATGAGCAATGTATTAGATTTTATTTGCTACAAACATGTATAGGAAGAAGAAAACCTTGGAGATTGTTTCTCAAATGCATTAAGCATGTGCCTAAATGAACAAAATACCTAAGATAAGTCACATACCAAAAAGACAGATTTCAAAAGAAACACTTCACACCTAAAAATGCAAGCGCCCTGAATTATAACAAAAGACTTCAGGGGAAAATAAAGAACTTACAAAGGTATTTACTCTGATTTTCACAGACCATAATTTTGAAAGATTTAATGAAGAGTATGCTACAGCTATTTCTTGATAAATATTTTTATTAAATTCCTCTTCTACCTGTGTTTGTAGATCAGACTTAACAGTTCGATAACGTACCCTGCTACCCTTCTCATGATACAACTCATATGATTTAGCTGGAACAGAACTGTCTGACCTTTGCATCTACGACAATATTCTGTTACTGTTTTCAAAAATAAGACAGGTCCTCATTCCCAATTAAGTTGATTCAGGGTATTCATTCTCTTCTCAGAATTACTATTGTCCCAATGGGATGGATGAGCTGTCCCAATACAGCTTTGTATTGATATTACACTGTAATTCTGCGCAGAAGAATCTGGCATATGTTGCAGTAAGGCAGTTTAAGAGACAGGAAAGAACTACTCTTACTAACTTCGGAACAAACACCTCGAATGAACGGGGTTGTGCGTGTACATGTGGCAGAGATGCTCCAGCAGCGACACAAGCAGCAGCTGGTTTTGGATGGTCGAAGTGAAATTCACAAACTTTTGCGACCCGTTTGCAACTCGCAGCTCCGCCGGCACATCCGATTCTGGAAAAGAACAGTCAGACGAATGAATTTAGGTCTCTATATATGCCTATTTACCAAAACATTAAAACCACTTACGAACCCACACAGCTTCAGCACAACCCTGGCTCACAAAAAGGCACCTCACGAGCTGCCACCGAGCGAGAAGCTTAAGACACTAATTAGGAACCTAATTATAATTTATTTTTATAAGTGCATATAAAAGAAGCTAACCGGAGAGGACGAGGCTCTCCCCGAGGGAGGAGAGCTCCCACAGCGGCCGCAGGGCAGGGCGCGCTGCCAAGGGCCTGCCCGCTCTTGCATCCCCCCCCGCGGCTGCCGCTTCCTCGAGGCGATGGGGAAGGAAGGGGAGGAGGGTGGCGGCAGTTCTACCCTCCGTCCCA